AGGGACTTTTGTACACCATTTACCTTAAATCGGACGAAGATATATACGGGAGCTATATCTAAATCTGAACCGATTTTCATGAAACTTTGCACACATCATTCTAGGCTTAATTCAGTACTCTATGCCAAATTTCGTGCAATTCTAAAGATATATAGGGACTTTGGTACACCATTTACCTTAAATCCTTGGGCCAAATAAATGAGCTGTGCCAAATTTCATCCAATTCGGATCATAAATGCGACCTGTACTTTGTTTACAATTTAACATGGACAGACGGACGGACGGACATGCATAAATCGACTCAGAAAGTGATTCTATGCATATTCTCAAAAGGAACCATGGGTCTATCTCGATTATTTTTGCTGTTACACACATATGCACAAAGACATAATACCCTGTACCACAGTGTGGTGAAGGATATAAAAATTGAAAAGTTTCGGTATTGACCCAAGTTTCGGTGTAGATCCCATATAATTGTACTCCCCAATATTCGGCATTTTAAAGCTTTAAAGTTTTCCCAACAAATCTGCTGTAATTTGGTATTTGGGTTTTCACTGGATAAAAAAAAAATCCTACTAAAATTTAAAAACATGGGTCAACTTTTATGGGTAGCCCTCATATAGCACTATATCCCAAATTTCGTTATTGTAGGAGTTTGGGCACGTGCAGCAACTTTACATTTTAAGTTTTCCTTAAGTAGAAAATCACCATACCAAACATATTAGCCCAAGTTTTAAGGAAATAAGGTTTTAGGGAAATTAATACAAAGATTCGATATAGATGGATGATATTTTAAAAAAATACTCGTATTCCTCATTCGATTTGACTGAATACATGTCATCGCAAAAACAACCTGCAAAATCTGCATACAAATCTATGCACTTTAGAGTTACCGGCAACAAATAGGTCACACCATAATTCAAATACATCGATCTATACCTATGACGAATTACTCAAATCAAAATACATATTTTGTGTATTTGTGTATTTTTAATGAAAATGATTTGTTTTCGCTTTCGACGTGAGGTAAATGCTTTGTTTTAGAATAAACCAAGGTGTATTTAATAAGGTGTATGCATCAGATACAACAACAAATATTTTACAAAAACAACATTGTTGTTATAGAAATTAAATTGTCATGCTGACAATAAGTTTTGGACAAAAATAAACAAAAACAATTATTAATTTATTTTTGTCAAGAACTATTCTTTGAGGAATAATTAATGAATTTGTGTATTCTTGGGTTATTAGCGGTTTTAGGTCAGTGAAAAATAAAGTTAAAGACCTGGTCGCGATTAATTTTAAGTTTCCCACATGCAGCCCATGGCTCTTTGTGATGTTGTTTATATTGTGAATTACAATCTAAATCATGGAAATTGTATTGACCGTATAAAATCTTTCTATAGGCGAATTTAACCTCCGCCGAGCATTGTGACAATCACCAATTTGTTTAAATTTGTTTAATTTGTTTAATTATTTCTTGAAATAAACCCTAAAAACACAACCACTTGTTGCCTACATTTTTTGTAACTAATCGAAATAATCTGTTCCGACCCATAAAGGTTATGGGCACTTCCGCAGTCACTTACGCGACTTTCAGATGCAAAATCAAAAATTAAATTTTTTACAATTCTCCCTTAATACATTTTTGTAGAACATTAGGAGTACTATCAGTGGTAAAAAATTTGAGAGCCTCCGGTTTTTAACTTTTGAGATCAAAGCCACAAAAGAGCGGTCACTCACGCGACTTCAAATGTACACGACTTTAGCCATCATTGCTAATAATGGGAAATCTCTGCGAATTGTGTGAATATTTTGAACTTTTAATATTCTTTACATGAATTAGAGATATCAAGCATTATTATTGCACTTTCTAAATTTCAAAATTTGGCATATCCATTATTGACGAAGGATTTTTTTCTCGGTCACTCACGCGACATTTTTATACCCTCAGCCTTTAGGCTAATGAGGGTATATACACTTTGATACGGTGAAAATGTGCCTTACCCAAATATTTCTTTGGACCAAATCCGTTTCAGAAAATTTGGAGTCGATGTACACATGTCCGTCCGTCCATCTGTCTGTCTAGCTGGTGCGCACGATAACTCTCGAAGGCAGCAACCGATTTCATTTAAACTTTGCACATCTTAATATTTCTTCCAAACTTAGTTTAAGTTCGAAGATGGGGTATATCGGTCCACGCCTTCTGGTACCTCCCCCATTAAATTTTCAAAATTGTGCTAAAAATTAATTTTATAATATTATGCAAACGGACTATCCGATTTTAACGAAACTTTGTACGACCTATTATCTTTACCAAGCCTAGATCAAGTTTGAAGATGGGACCCACTGGTCCACTCTTTCTAATACCTCCCCCAAAAATGGTCAAAATTTTCAATATTTGTAAATCCAATATCAGGCGAATGTAATGTCCAAAATTAACCAAACTTTGCACAACCCATTATCTTTACGAAGTCTACATTAAATCCTTCTGGTCTTTCCGGTACCTCCCTCACAAATGGTCAATATTTTACAAAATTTTATCAATATTAAGTCCGAAACCTTTTTGATAAAAACATATTTCCTGTATAAAGCTAATAATAAAATCTGTGTGTAATTCCGAAGACCTCCGCAGAACATAGGCTGGGGGTATATGTCGGCAACATCGACTGACACTCTTTATACCCTTCACCACACTGTGGTACAGGGTATTATGTCTTTGTGCATATGTATATAACAGGCAAAAGGAAACGAGATAGACACATAGTTCCTTTTGAGAATATGCATAGAATCACTTTTTAAGTCGATTCGTCCGTCCGTCTGTCCATGTTAAATTGTAAACAACGTACAGGTCCTATTTTTAATTCGAATTGAATGAAATTTATTTGGCCCAAGGACGAACCCTATTTAAATTGGTTCAGATTTAGACATATTCCCCATATATATTTTCATCCGATTTAAGCTAAATGGTGCACCAAAGTACCTATGTATCCTTTGATTTGCACGAAAATTGGCATAGTTAAATTTCGTGAAAATCGGTTCAGATTTAGATATAGCTCCCACATATATATATATATATATATATATATATATACACATATATTTTCGTCCGATTTCGATTTGCACAAAAGGTTGCATAGGGTACTGAATTGACTCTAGAATAGGTTACTAAATTGAGTCTAGAATGACGTGTGTTAAGTTTCGAAAAAATCGGTTCAGATTTCGATATAGCTCTCAATATATTTTCGTCCGATTTTAGGTAAATAGTGCACCAGAGTCCCTATATGTCCTTCGATTTGCACGAATTTTGGCATAACGTAATGAACTGCGTCTACAATGATGAGTGGTAAGTTTCAGAAAAATCGGTTCAGATTTCGATACAGCTCCCATATATATTTTCGTCCGAATTTATGTAAATGGTGCGCCAAAGTCCCTATATATCCATTTGCACGAAATTTGGCATATCGTACTGAATTGAGTCTAGAATAATGTTTGGTAAGTTTCGGAAAAATTAGATCAGATTTCGATATAGCTCCCAACAAGGACGTATGGAAAGGGGGGCCGAGAGGCCCCACCCTAGCCCTACATCGGATAACTCAAAGCGCTACATCGGATAACTAAATGGAATATCCTTATGAGATTTTTTAATTTTTATTTCTTACATTTCCACTTGCAAAGTTTCATACAATTTACATATAACACCTGGATCTTAATGCAAATTCCGACTAAAGTAACAGTTACTGTCTTAAAAGAATACCATGACACACACTTACACATGTGCTTTTTCTATTGGTGTTTTAAAATGTTTTAAGAGTACCGATACAAGTAGTACGTTTAAAATTCGAATTCGCACATACAAACACCATCTAAACAAAATCATTCAAATGAAAACGCTAGGTTTAATCCTCATTTACATGTTCGGCATGCCGGATATGTACATAAGTAATTTGTTTCGAGATTATATCAACAACAACAGCAATCGGGGCAACAAGTGTTGGGGAAAAACGCCCACCAAAAAGCATATCTACAAGTAAAGTGTTTACTTGTAGAATAGCATTCAAATATATACAGAATAGAAAAGAAAGAAAATTATCTTTGAAACCTAACATACAGAACTGGTGGTTAAGGGAAATATTCCAGGCAGATGGGATTCTGTAATATTTTACAAACATTGGATAAACAGGCTTATTTCTACGGTCCAGGATCCGAAATACTTGAGATTGTGTTGGACACAATTAATTTCTCCTCTCACGACATACATCCGGTACTGTTCAACCCCCACCTTTTTGAAATAAATGAAAAGAAAGCCTTTAGATCAACAGGCCAACAACAAGCAAAAATTTGATAACTGTAAAGTAAAATACTCTCGATACGTTTTAGTTTTTGTAAATTTTCTAAAAACTTATATTTTTTGTTTATTTGTTCTTTTTTGTTTTAAATTATAAACCACAAAAATGTTTGTAAATTATTTATATATAGATTACACACAGAAATGATAAAAAAAAACTTAGAAAAATACTGCTTATTCTGGTTATGTTTTGTAAAAACTAAATCATATTTTGTTTCTTTCTTTTTTAATGGATTTATCAAGAAATAAAAATTGATTTCAAAGATGTTGGTTCTTTTATTGATGAAGCATGGGATTAACTACGAAAAACTTAAATATAAATTCTCATGACGGCAAATTTTTAATAATAAATTTTAATAATACAAAAGCACTTTTGAAGCTAATGAGATGGAAATTTTCGGGGGTTTGTTTTTGGTATAAATAATGTGGCAAAAAATTTTGTTTTTTATCGAAAGAGAAAAAGACATTTGTCAAATGGTACAGTAAACAGAGAATAGAAAAAAGTAGAGAGATTGCAAATGATAATAATAATAATACATTATACAGAAAGAGCTTATTCGGCCATAGAAAGTAGAAGGGAAGAAACTTAAAGTAGTTCTATACTTGAAATTTCTATATATTATTATTTATATGTGTAAAGTTATTTAAAAAAATACTATTAAACAAACAATATTAAGGAGCGACACTACATTATTAACGTATAGTTAGTTTTTGTGTATAGCAGCTATCCCGTCACTTTGCGTATTTTGAAATCTTTTAGATCTTCTTCGGGTATCAGACGCAAATCGAATTCATTCGCCAAATGTAACACTGAGTAGAATGCTATGGAGGTGGATAATGATTCGGCCATTGCTTTTGGCAATATTTCGGGCAGGTGTTCGTAAATCTCATGGAAACTACCCATACCATCTTGATATTTCTCCTTCTTGGGTATGGGATGTTTGGGTACTTCTTCCTCTTTCACGGGCTGTTTGAATTGTTTGGTCAGCAGCAGTGAACAGCTACGTTTGAGATTTTTCATATCAATAACTTTGGCACGTTTTGCAAACGGTACCACAATTTTTGTAACTTGTGAGGGTGCTCCTTCATATTCGTGGGCAATTTCCAGTACGGTCTCATTAAGATTTTCCATGTTGCCGGCGTCATCACCCATACCACCTTCCGCCGCCTGGGGATCATTGTGATGAGTACTTGAGTGTGATGTATTCATACCAGCCACATCTCCACCTTCATTACCACCACAACCTGCCATGCCATCATCATTAAAGTGGGGCATATCATCACCACCATCATTGAAATGATGATCGTCTGGCCGTAACGTATCATCATCCTCAGTGCCACCCGTTAATGTCGTCGCTGCTGTACTGTCACGTTCATCATGTTTCATGTGTAACGTCAAGCCCGGTGCATATTTATAGGTGAAAAAACGCAATGGATCCAATTGCAAATCGACGGGCAGCTTCAGTTTACGTTGATCCCATTTCTTTTGTATATTCGCTTTGCGACTTTTATATTTGTCATCCAATTTAATGAAGAGCTCATCATGAAATTCACCAAATGTTAACTGTTTCGATTTCTTTTTCTCCAGGGCGATTTTATTACGCTTCGCCCGTTGATTTAGGCGGCCCGCAACACCCTCCGACGAAAGATGCTGCTGTTGACTGGACAGCGTCTGGCGATTGGGTCGTGTCCTTTTAAATTTCCAATGCGAGGGACCAGCCCAAAATTGTGAAATCTTATCCAGAGGCCGATAAGAATATTCGAGCTTAGAACTAGCATCAACTGGCCGTAGATCTTCGATAAGTACGGGTTCTTTACGTAGGCCACGACAATTGTTAATGGCAGTACGTTCCTCTGGGAAAGGGGGAAAAGAGGCAGAATTATAAAATTAATAAAAATAAATTAATACAAATGATCGTTTAAAATATAAGCAATCAGAGGAAAGCGAAAAAACAAAGTTTGGAAATGAAAAATATCTTTTCCGCCCAAACCGAAAATTGAAGTTATTAAAAGTAGATTATTTTTTTTACTCATATCGAAAAAGTGGTAATCTGGACCCCATGGAATAATTGTGATATTTTTAAATTATCAGTGGCCAAATATTTTCGGCGACAAAATAAACATTACATTTTTTTGGAACAAAAAACAATAGGAGGCTAGGTCCTTTGTAAGGGGCGAATATTTTCGGGAACAAAAATATGCTGGACTTTTTTACTTTTCATTTTTATTACATCGAGGAATTAACTTAAAATTTGAAATTTTGATTTTTTGACAAGGCCCCGTTCATATAGAGTATTGAAAACAATTCCGGCATTTTAGGCCTTCTTATGGATGGTGGATTGGCTTTAGGGACATAAACGCTATATTTGTTGCAGTAGTCTTGAGTTGTCAAAGTTTGCAAGGGGAATTTTAAAGCTCCATATTCTATGTGCCTAACGACGGAGGCCCATATTGCTGGAAGTACGGACTTATTCGAATCAAGACATCAAATCCGACATTCTATGCCGAACTTATCTAGATTATGTGGATTGGTTTCAGTGACATTAACGAAATTATTGTTTGCAGTAGTCCTGGGTGATTAAAGTTCCCAGGGAAATTGTAAAGCCCCATATTCTACGTGTCTTACACAGGAAGTTATATCGTTTCAATTAGGCCTCTTGTGGCAATATATGATAAACATTTCAAAGCAATCAGCTACCGGGCCTTATCCTAGGCTTGTTTTTCAACTTGACACTATGAAAGTTTTTATGTATTAAGAAATAAAAAAGTTCGACCATATCGGTTGAAAATCTAAAATTCCATTGCACACCTAAAAACCCTATTATTTATTACATTTTCACTCAGCACTTACCAACAGTTAAATCATCATCTAATTCCTCATAATTAACATCCATTATTGGTACATGTTCGCTTAAGGCAGGCACTGGTTCACATTCAGCATTCATATCGAATGCCATACCCAATTCATTGACATTTTGAAATGGTGCAAAGATATCATCACTACCTCCACCGCCACCATCTGAACAACCCGGCGGGCCATCATCACAATCGGAATCGACACTCATACGTCTCGTGTCATTATCCTTATCATCGTTTGGCGATTCCGGTGTATCTGATATCACATAACCACCATGCATTGGACGCAATTCCATATCGTTGACATTGGATATTTTGAATAGTCGATCACAACTCGCCAAATCCGCTTCATTCTCTGTACTCAGCGGAACTTCTTCGGTATAGTCGCAGACAGGCAGTGATTTCGAATCCCAAATGGCAAATGTTGTTCTCAGTCTCAGCTCGGACTCTGTGGTTAGAAGGATATTGTTCATGAGACGATTTGAGGAGTTAATAGAGCCCACAATCGAATTCAATTTGCCAAAGACGGGATCTTGCAGTGGTACTGTATCCAAGCGTGCATTGATTGTGTCTTTATTCTTGGTGATGGTTGAAACTAAATTTCGCTTCTTCTTCTGTTTCTTTTGGGCCGGTTGTTTTTCGGCACCTTCAACACCCGCTGCACTGGCATTCGGATCATTGCCACCTTCACCACCGGTGGCCACATCATCCTCGTCATCGTCATCGTTTTGTAATTGTTTTTCATTGAATTTTTGGGCATTTAAGCCGGCAGACATACGCAGGACATCTGTGTGTATTGAATCGACACGGAGACTGTAGACTTTCGAAGATGCCTCAAGAGAAGAACCAGCAACCTAAGCAATAAAAAAGGAAAAGAAACATTTCATTAACTGATTTAACTCTTAGTTCGATACAGTCACCAAACATAAACAAAACATTTCACAACAAGAGTGTCCTTTTGCCTATAGGAACACCAACACAATAACCACAACAATATTCACATGTATGTGTGTGTGTGCGAGTGTGTTTTTGTGCATCTGCTGTTTGCTTATGAAATTGTGCATCCCTTCACAACTTACCTTAAAATTATTCAACGATTTATGATGTCTGTCCAGCAATGTTGACAGTGTGTCTATCAGTGACACTGACCATGCATTATCCTTGCTCAATTTATTGCCATTGTAGATTTCCAGGCATTTCTTCAGCGTTTCATTTTCCTCCAGGCATGCTGCATCTGATCCACCCGTGGATGATAGCAGTGTTCGACGGCGGGCCTGTCTACGCTCCTCCTCGTCATCGTTGATGGTGACATTGTGTGCTTGGCCATCACGTAAAACTCCCGCCTCGGAACGTCTCAGCGGTGAGTCTGTATGGGCTGGTGTCATATTCACCTAGAAAACAATCGATGGCAAATAGAAAATTATTTAATTTGTGTCAGCTATTGGCATCATTTACCATGAATTAGCTGACTGACTGGCAGGCTTGGCTATTGCTTTGAATTTGCTCCCTGCTCGTTACGTCGCGCGCGCTTCCCTTTAGTTGTGTTTTTTTATTAGTTTTGCTGTTCGTTACACAGCCAAACGTCAATGATGTTACTCGCTGTACACTTCTGCTTCACTTTGTGTTTTTACCATTTCTTACCTCTTTTTGCTATTTTCTGGGTGAATGCGTGTGTTTGTGTGTACGTTGTTGTTTCGCCTTTTGTTTTGTTTTAACGAAATTTAATTAAATTTAATTTCGCTGTCAAACTGTACTTGATCGATTTTTGTTCTTATTCACTTATCACTAATTTGTATTTGTTGTTAATTTGTTTCTTTTTTCTGTTTTGTGAAACTATTTCTCTTATTGTAGCGTTAGAAAATATCATAACAAGGCAAATGTTTTATTCTTCGAGTTACAAAAAATGCGCTTGTGTTTGTAATGTATAAAATTTCAGTTGTTTTCAAATGCTAAAGCCAACGACAAACGATTGTTGAGAGGGAGTCAAAGAGGAGAGAGAAAACACATAAAGATTAAAAAATGGAGTCGTACCAGAGTTGATTTTAGGGTGTTAGTGTTGCCACCGGTCGATAAAATTAGGGAGGTTCACATCTTGCGATTTATTGTCCAATAAGCAGAAACAAACGTTCACACTTGAAAACCCATTTAATTAAATGGGGAAATAAATCTTTACCACTGAGAAACAGTTTTTAGCGGAATATTATTACCACTTAGTAATCGTTTATATCTTGTAGAGTTTCCATAGTGGCAACAATGGTAGAATAACAAAGGGTAGGATACCTAGTGGTGAACAGCAACAGGCAACTCTGCATATAGCGGTTTATTTATTACGGAACATAATCTATTGGAATACAACAAAATTAGTTTATAGTACGTCTACAATATACGGGATTTTGTTAACACAGTGGGTTTAAATTGTCAATTCCATTGCGTATATGTCAAAAGTAAGTTAACCCTTTAAAAAGTTATAATGCAAATGTCGTTTTATTGTGAGACATCTGTCCACAATTGAACATTTCCTTTCATGTTGCGTTTTTCTGTTTTCGACAGTTTTCTATAGATACGAACAAGCACACGATACTTTTTATTGGGTATTTCTACGAAATGGAATCGATATTTAATGCTGTCATACCAGGACTTAGCGACAACTTTATTTTAGTCGTTAACTTATCAAGTATAGTTGCACAGGTATTTAACAAATTCCGATCGAAATGGCTTCAAATCCGTATCTAAATTCCAAAAAATATTATAGTACGTTTACATTGCACCGGATTTCGTTAACCCAGTGGGTTTCAATTGTCAATTCCATTGTATACATGCCAAATAAATCCTCATAGAGTAGGTTATCCCGGTAAAAAGTTCAAATGTAAATGCCGTTTTAGCTTCTTCAGATTTCCATCGACTAAATTTTGAAAAATTAAAACGTAAATATTAAACCAAATCAAACATAAACCGGTAGTCAACTACATAGTTATTTTTAACCCTACGGTCAATAACCAAAAAAGTATACGTAGATCAATAAACGTGGTACATTTGTACCCATCCAAAGATAAGTGTGTAACTCATTAAAAAATTGGACTATCGTGAGGTTTTTTGTTTTAAATTAGTCTATACGGATCTGATGTAGATGTAGGAACTCAAAATTATATATACATTAAAATAATATATATTTAAATACATGCTTAAATGATAATCTATCTAAAACAATCATAGTAAATTCGTTATAGCTTTCGAATGGGTTAAGCTTTTTTTTCAATATGGGTATTGCAAATATGATTATAATAAAATTTCTTCCCAAGCTATGAAATATTTTTCTTTGAATGCTGAAATGTTGAGTTGTAATTACACATACATATATAAACTAACACATAAGAAAAAATTGCACTTATTATAAAAATTTACATTCTTATGCAGGATTTTTAAATTAACTTTTAATATTTATTGGAAAAGTAAAATTTTTTTAATTGACATTCTTATAGTCTGCTTTTCCACAGGCAAATTTTTATTTGGCAAATACTGAGTTTGTAGGCGAGAGGGGTGCGAGGAAGAAAAACGAAAATTTGCCTGTTCAGAATTTGCCGTACACGCAAATTCTGCTTTGCTCTGTTCGTTGAAAACAATTTTGTTGGCATTTCCTTTTGAACCTATTCGCTTTACTGACACACAGCCGGCTTTTGTTTACAAACCTTTTGCTTTAATTTGTGCAAGTGAAATTTAATTTTTAATTGTTGCAATTTATATAATAAAATATATAAAAAATAAATAAAATATTAAAAAAAATCTTTAAAATGCAAACACTTTTGACTTTTATTTTCTTTCTTTTGTATTTTGATTCGCAAATTTGGCAAAGAAAAATTTGCCAATGGAAAAGCAAGCGAAAATTTCAAAAGAGAAAACAAAAAATTTGCCAAATAAAAAGCAGACATACAAACATTTTTAATATCCCATTCAAGTGGCCCACACACGTCAAACATGTGCGTTCGATCGGTGTGAATCGAAGCAATGTTTGACGTGTGTGGTACGGTGTTCACACCGATTTGCCGGTGCGCACACCGATCGAAAGAAATTAAAAATTTTTAATTTTTCGTTGTGCGACGCGCACATGTTTGACGTTTGTGGCCTGGTGTGTGGATATTTTCTCATTTGTTGCGAAATTTCGTGGAGTGCGGATCAGCGGACAATGTCAAACATATGCAAAAAAACGTTTTGGAAGATTTTTTTTAGGTTTTTTACACATATTCTACAGTGTGGCAATAAAAAATGTTTTTCCCTGAATAAAAAAAAGTATTTAATAAATTTATATTAAATAAAAATATTAGGTCTTTTTTCCGACATAACTATCACTGTCCATCTTAACGCTTCAAAAATATAATAAGAAATGAAGTTTTGTGGATCCGTTTGACGTGTGTGGGCTAGGAGCTTCACACCGATCGAATGCACATGTTTGAGGTGTGTGGCCCACTTCAGTGTACTTTTCGAACAAACCTCGCATTAAAATCGATTATTTGTATTGGAATCATTTATCGATTGTGATAAAAAGAAGAAAAATAATCGATTTTTAAAACCCACACAAAAAACGATTGCAGTATTTGCACGTAGCTTAATTTCTTTAGAAAAAAAATTATGTTTTATATAAAAAAATGTTTTTAGCACGTTTTATAGTCGTTGTAAGTATATCATTTTACATCAGATATGCTCTGTATACAATAGTAATTGTTAATATTTTAGTTTTTAAGTATATCTGCCACCCACCTAATTAGACCGGCAATCGGCAAAGTAAACACCAAAAGCAATGCCATCATCGAAGACATTGTAGAATATAAAGATTTTAAGAAACTGTTGCGCACCAAGACCAATGTCTTAGTTTTGTACACCAGCAATGTCAAGCAATCGGCGGAACAGATAAAAGTCTTCAAGGAGACAGCAGGCATTGTCAAAGGAACGGGTACAATGGTGTTAATGGATTGCTCAAATGCTGAAAAGAAGTTGTGCAAGAAATTAAAAGTTTCCCCCGATCCGGTTATATTGAAACACTACAAAGATGGTGATTACCATAAAGATTATGACCGGCAAATGGTCGTATCGTCTATGGTGAATTTTATGCGTGACCCGGCTGGGGATTTGCCATGGGAAGAAGATCCTGCTGGCAAGGATGTAATACATTTTGGAGATTATGCTTCATTTTTGAAACATTTGAAAAAGGATATGCGGCCGATGTTGGTAATGTTCTATGTACCATGGTGTGGTTTTTGTAAGCGACTGAAACCTGATTTCTCAAAAGCGGCCACAGAACTTAAAAGTGAAGGTTATGTTTTGGCTGGCATGGATGTGGAAAGGCAGGAAAATGCATTGGCAAGAAGGGCATATAATATAACGGGTAATTATTATTCGAAGATTGTTTCACTTATACCAACCAGCAAAATTATATTATAACGACATCAAGGACCCAAAGAAATTGGTCTATATAAGCGATAATAAAAAAGACTTTTCAGGGACTTTTGTTATAAGCGATATGTATATAAACGATTTGAGCTGTAGTTTTTTAGTATTGTAGAATTCATTTCAATTTATTAAATCTAAACCTAGTCCCGCAAAACACGAAAAACAAGAAAATTAAATCTGCAATCCTATATTTTTTTAATTTTCTAATTCATTAAATAGGTTTCCCAACCATTATTTACTTTGAAAATGGAAAATTAAAGCAAATATACGAGGGTGACAATAACAAGGATGGTATTGTATCGTTTATGCGTGATCCAACATCGGTGTTGATCAAGAAACCCAAGGAGTCTGATTGGTCTGCTGATACGAACTCGGAAATTGTGCATTTGACAAAACAAAATTTCGAACCTGCCTTAAAAGATGAAAAGTCCGTACTCGTGATGTTCTATGCCCCATGTAAGTCAAATACATTCAGTTTATTTTCCTAAACCCCAAAAATAATAATCTCGTCTCCCTCAGGGTGCGGCCATTGTAAACGCATGAAACCCGAATATGAAAAGGCTGCCTTGGAAATGAAACAAAAACACATTCCCGGTGTATTGGCCGCACTTGATGCAACAAAGGAATCTGCCATTGCTGAGCAATATGGTGTCAAGGGTTATCCAACTGTAAAATACTTTGTTAATGGTCAATTTAAATTTGACGTCAATGTTAGGGATGCCGATAAAGTTGTGGAATTTATGAAAGATCCCAAAGAACCGCCGCCACCACCACCGCCAGAAAAGAATTGGGAAGAGGAAGATGATACCGAGGTGGTCTTCTTAAAAGATGACAATTTTGCAACAACATTGAAACGAAAGAAACATGCCCTGGTCATGTTCTATGCACCATGTATGTATTTTTATTAAACATCTCTTATTATGAATTGTATTATTTGATATTTGAAAATGTCTATTTTCAGGGTGCGGTCATTGTAAAAGTACAAAACCTGAATTTAATGCAGCTGCCAAAGCCTTAAAAGAGGATTCCCGCCTAATTTTGGCCGCTGTCGATTGTACACGTGAAACAGCTGTCTGCTCGCAGCATGAAGTTCGTGGTTATCCAACCTTTAAATATTTTTCATATCTCAAAACAAAACAGGAATATAATGGCGGACGTAAGCGTGAAGACTTTATTGCATTTATGAACAAAGCCAACGAATCAGCTGTACCTAAATCTAAATCTATAGAACAGCAGCATGAGGAGTTGTAGTATTGAATTATCAATTCAACCTATACATTTTTAGTTGTATTATATGGATGAACAAAACAATTACTGTGACACTTTTTTTCTACAATAATGTTTATATACACAAATATATTTAGATAACAACTTTTTGTATTTTTATATGGTATTCATTTTTTATATTCCTTTTTTATGTATTTCTCCAAAATCTCGTAACTTAAATCTCAATATACAAAAATCAGTGTTATTATTTATGTCTCAAATATTGTTACAAAAAAACAAAGTTTTTTATATATAGGTCTTCCTAATTTGTTTGTACACAATTCATTCCTATTTGAAAAATATGTATTAAAATTTATTTGAATTAATCTGGAAATAAAGGAGAAAATATTCTAAGCTATTTAAAATATTTTATTTGTTTAAATATTAAAATATTGGTGGAAAATACACCTCTCATATATCTGTAAGTGATTCCGATTAATCGTACGGACATAAAAGACGCTATTCTATCGAATATCAACTGATAATTGATTGGGAGCACCAAATGTTTCTATGGGATTTTAACTTCTAAAATACATCAAGGAACCCAAAAATATTTTCTATTAACCCAGATAACGTAAGAGATTTTTTCTACTAAATCTTTAATTTAAACTTAATTTTTTTTTTAATAAAATTTGTTTTAGCTTTAAGCTAGAGAAGTGTAGAACAAGATAAATGATACATTTTTTTTAGAAATTCACTGAGACAATTTGTGATGTGATTTGGAAAATAAAAAAATTAAAAATAATAAACATAATTTAAGGCTACAAATTGCATTTTTTTTAAATAAATAAATAAAAATGTAAGAAGATCAAGTCAAACTATAATGGAATGGAAGACAGCCTTTTACAACCTGAAATCTCAAAATATCATTTCAAGCCATTTCGATTTGAAATGCCGCAAACTCCTTCAAAATGACGACAATCAGGCGGTACTTTTATATGGAATCTATGTCAAAACGTAATCAATGTGTTAAATTTTCCGCAAGTGGTTAATCAATGGGAAGAAGAAATAGAAACCCCCATACCTAATGTCAAAATTCCGCCTTTTATTAATCAAGGGGAAGGTAGATGTACTGAAATACATTTTAAATTATTGCAAGTAAATGCATATTTCAATTTCAATTTACTTATTTTTTCATTAGGAACCTAGCCACAAGGCCAAAATCGTTTCCAAAAACCACTATTCATTTACTACTTCAAAATCTTATTTTAAAAAATAAAATGGATTATCTTTTCGAATAAAACATCCAATAATTATCTATCCGATATAATTCCGAATTTCGAATAAAAAAACAATAATATTCCAGATTTTTTTTATAATTTCTGAAAAAGCAAGGTGTATTTAATAAGGTGCAAGTGACAATCATATGGTATCAAACTTTTTTCTTGATTTTTTGTAAAGTAAATTGTCAAAAACATTTTCAATATTACATTTCGATTTCAAAATTGTCTTCAAATTTAGGATTTTTTAATAATAACCATTCATGAAAACTACATTCATAGAGTCGGACGGAAAGGAAACCTAGGCTCAGTTATAAACCCGTTCACCGATTGGTCCACATATATTATGTGTGGAAATCTGTCCAGAAATCCCAGCTATTCATAAAATCGAGCAGATTATGTTAGCCTATATTGGAATCGGCCCCTAGGTGCTTGTCACAATTCTCGGCGGAGGTTAAATACGTCTATGGAAAGATTTTATACGGTCAGCACAATTTCCATGATTTAGTCATTAGCCGGGGATTTATGACCTTCAATTTTTTTTAAGAAGGCAAGATTTGAAGCCACTCCATAGAAAAAATAGATTGTAATCCACAATATAAACAACATCACAAGGAGCCATGGGCTACATGTGGGAAACTTAAAATTAATCGCGACCCGGTCTTAAACTTTATTTTTCACTGACCTAAAACCTCCAATAACCCAAGAATACACAAATTCATTATTATTCAGAGAATAGTTCTTGACAAAAATAAATTAATAATTGTTTTTGTTTATTTTTGTCAAAATCTTATTGTCAGAAGAGCTAATCAACCTACCAACAAAACCGACCATTTTAGTACCTTTGTTCTCTAAAGTATGTATTTCCAAAACTACCTCCATATCATAACACTACACTCCAATTCTGTCCGCAACAGAAATCTAGCTCTATACTAAATTTGGTACCATTTATTACTTTTTGTACTTTTATAGTATTTATTTCCAAAACTATTTCCCCATTTCATGATTCGAATTAAAAAAAAAAAACAACAAAATATAGACTACTCCAAAAGCTTAAAACTAACAACGTATTAGAATCATAAAATCTTAATGTCTAATCAGTTGGAGGCAGGGATGGTCATTTTTAGGTTTTCGACTGTCAAAAAGGTGTAAACGTCGAAAACGTCATATACCTGTATAAAATGTAATAAATGTAGTAAACGTCATTTATTTGAATATTATTACCATATACTGTTATTTTCAAGAATATGTATTATTTTTCCATATATCTGACTATTCCTTACTAGAACTGATAAAAAATTCTAAACTTTTTGGAGAAGGAATTTTTGAAATTTGATATGAATTTGGGTAAAGCATACCTAATTTCCAAATTGATTAATGGAAATAGCTATTTTGTCAAAACCCTAATGGTTTTGGGCGGGGTTCCGACGTTTCTGACGTATGTATTATACGTCGGAAATGTATGTCATTTACGTCACTATTTCTGATAGACCATCTCTGGTTGGAGGGGTTCCGGGGGTTCCATCGGTGACACTCATTTCAAGTTTCAGTGTTCTAGTTCTACCAAATACTTACTGTACCACATTTATTACTTTTTAGTACATTTCGTTCGATTCTAGTAAGAATTTCCCAAAACCTTGCCTTATTTGACACCTTTCGACTAAGAGTGACCATCACCCAAAATTTCAAGATTCTAGTTTCAGCCGTTTCCTCCGGGCGTTGATGAATCGTTAAGTCAGTCAATCCACAAGGCTCCAGAAAATCTGGCCGTCCTAGAAATACGTGGCGCAGAACTATTGCTCTAGAAATAAGAAAAATTAACAAAACTTGAGAAGAGATTAAAACCATTAGTAATAATAGAATGGAATATATATCCGATATCATCAAAACTTCCTGCCATGAGACACATTTTTGTCATATCAGTGTTATACCCTTAGCCTTTAGGCTGAGAGTAAAATAAAAATGGACACATATACGACGATAACCATATTTCTTGGTGAAATTTATATATTTTGATATGCGCCTCGAAACTTCGGAAGAAGGGATTAAAAGGAGTTTCACGCATAAAAATGATTATTTTGAAAGAAGTTTCTGTCATATAGCCATAAAATCTATTATCCTTTAAAGGACTCAGCCGCGTAGCCGATTCTGTCATATGTCCATAGTAGCATGTCTATGTGAGGTTCCTAATGAAATTTTAGAAAACCATGTCTATCAAAAATAATAATAAATACATTTTTGTATCAGCGAAACTTTAGTTGGATGTTCCAAACATATATTTTTTATGAATCAATACATTTAAATATACCGGATTCCAAAATACCACCCACTTTTATCTGTTGAACTTCTAGAAAAGGTCAGGTAGATCTTTAGGCTAGGCGAACCTACTTTTCTTTTAATTTAAAAAGTATATTTAAGTAGCTGACCTATCTGGGATTTAACGGGTACAATGATACCCATTTTACCTTCTTCGTATATAAATGTATTTCGGATATGACATAGGGGTTTTATGTAATATCTTTAAGTGGTAACAAAGAGTAAACACTGTTATTGTAAGCCCTTAACTGAATATAAACGAAACTAATTAAAACAGAATTTGACTCTATGTAATCACTTTGGAACCACATATAAGTATGAAATTCCTTAAAACATTACAATCAGACGGCTTATATGCGACAAATAAGTTTCCTTCTATTATAAATATATGGATACCATACTTGTAGCTTCTATATTTAGATATGTAAAGCATAAGTATGTAAATTTGAAAATGTGAGCGGAAACGCACTATGAATCTGACAAAAACTAATTTTTCTATGTAAAAGTACCATATATAGTTAACTGATCTTACGGGCAATATTACATTTGCCATTTGCTATTGGATGGATATTATGAAAAAGCCGGCACATTGTAATTTTTAAAAAATAACAATTATTTATAATATTAATTACCTTATGACATTTTTACACCGAAAAAAAAAGATAGCTTATAATAGAAGTCCATTTATCAAATATTACAAGGGGGTACTACTCTCAAGTGTATATACACGTTGCGATATTCTCGTTCTTCTAGATTTCCCCAAAATTATATTCAAAGAAAATGCAATTGGAATCTTTAAAATTCTACATACAAGAAGTCGACGGGAAATTTTAATTTATTATACACTACATTTCCCCTATATGGCTATGGGTTAAATTAAATCAAAACCCCAATCACTACATGTTAAGAATTTTCATCTTCCTTTTTGCACACTTATCCTTATCTCTAGCACAGTGATATTTGCCATAAATACACAAATCAAAACAAACATATTTTTGCAAGTGTTTTTTTTTACTCCATACGGATTTAAACACCCGTAATAGATTTTATTTTTCTGTCAATATTTTCTCATTTCCGTAAACTTTCTTGGTTTTGCGGTTTGTTATTCTTCTTTAGAAAATTAACACCTTAATTACAAAAAACACTTCACTTCCTTTCTTTAGACCATAAATGAATGGCTAAAACAATTTACCGCTTGCCACCTACACGGGGAGCAGCCTTTTGGGTAACCTTGGCGGCTTTTTGTTTGGGAGCAGCCTTAGCCTTAGCGGGGGCGGGTTGGGTAGCTTTCTTGGCTGCCTTGGTGGCGCGTTTTTGGTCCTTGGCGGCTTTGATGGCTTGTTCGCGTTGGGCACGACGAACTTCGGGTTTCATGTTACGCTTAGCCATGATTTCGGCCAAGGAAGCACCGACAATAGCGCGTTGGAACTTTTGTGTTCTGCGGGTACGCTTCTTGGTGGCTTCTTCTTCAATACCCTTACGGTGCTTGCGACGGTACAAGACGGTCCATGTCACCTTACGGGGGTTACGCTTCATCAAGTAAGAGCGTTCGCATTTCTTGTCCAAGAAAGTGAAGGTCTAAACGAAAACAAAAAAAAAGAAAGTTATTTTCTCACCCACAAATTTAAAAATTTTTTTTTTTTTCTAACTTACCTTGCCGTCAACTTTGACCATGGTCTTGCCATGACCGGGGTAGATTTTGTACCCACTGAATGAACACAAACCGATTCTGGAAACAAATTAAAAAACATACATTTTAACCATTAGCTATTGTTGGCAGCCACAAAATGTCACTATAATTCATTATTGATTATGATTTTGACGATCATTGGTCGTTTATTTTTATTTAACATTTTCTGATGTTTTTAATATTTCACAATTATTTTTATTTTATCACGAAAAAATAGAACGAAAATACGTACTTCATCTTGGCGTTGTTGTCAGTAGAAAGAAACGGAAATGGGCAGAGAAATGACAGCTGTCAAACGAACAAAAACAAACGACAAAATATCACCTGGTGGCGAATAGTATAAACACAAAGTGTCACTTTTTTGTTGCAGAGTTGTATTTTTTATTCAATAAAATCAAAAAGGACAGAAATTTATTAGGAAAAATAATAATTTTATTATAAACATTAAAAATGTTTGTGTAGGATTTGATCATGGCCCCCAAGGCAAGTTCCAGCAAAAATACAGTCCTACATCTACGTTTATTGTCAACTCGTATGTCAAAAGAAACATCCAGCAATGATTTTTTGTTAACAATTTAATTATTTTTCACAATATTTAATATATTTTCTCTTGCATTTGTTTTTTAATTAAAAAACAAATATTTTAAAAAACTTCGGGTAATGTGAACCAACAATGTTTTTTATTCGAAATTAAATATTTTGACAAAAAAGTAGATATCCCTTGGCCTTACTCGGTGATCTTATATTGGATTTGATTGTAGTATCCTTTACTAAAACAGTAACTGCAAAAATAATTGTCTATATTTTTTAGGTTATTTCTAAAAATAATCATGGTAATGTTAAATAGCTTTTCCTGATATATATTTTTGTCTGTTCCAGAACCTGCAAGAATGTGCAATTTGTTCTTCATAACATTGGAAAAAAATTTAGATTTTTGCTAGGAGTGTAAGCATGGTACAATAATACCTGCTAAGACAACTTGAGTTGAATAAAAAACACCGATGTAGATAGAGGCTTCTACTGCCAAATATATTTGACATTTTTCAACAGATAACTAAAATCGTGAAGATTTTACTCTGATTTCATTTGACATACATACACACACATACACAAAATGTGTAGTTTGATTAAAAAAAATTATCAGGTGGTTGCTATGACATACCATTATACAAGGAAGTCTCTTGCAGTCATATGTTTCCTATTTTTTCATAAATTTGTCAAATTCATATTGACACTAGTATTATAGCACGTTTACATTCACCGGATCTCGTTAACTCAGTGGGTTTCAATTGTCAATTCCTTTCCATATATGTCAAATTAATCCTCATAAAGTAGGTTAACCCGGTAAAAAGTTCTAATGTATATGCCGTTTTACGTTGGAATCAAATTAGCTGAGATTTGCTGTTACAGTACGTTTACATTTAACCGGATTTCGTTAACCCAATGGGTTTCAATTGTCATTTCCTTTGCATATATGTCAAATAAATCCTCAAATATGTTAAATAAATCCGGTAAAAAGTTCTAATGTACAAGTTTTACCTTCTATAATTGTACCATGTGAAAAATACAACAAGATTGATTTTACAACATTGGTAGGAACAAATGTATGATTTGTGAATGAAACAACAAGCAAATTATATCCCCATATTTTGTCCTTTCTGGCAAAAGCTACCATACCTTGTATAATTGCTCCATGCTTGAAATGATCTTTTTAGACGTATTAAGGAATACATTTTTTAAAATAAAAAATATTTCTTGACTTTTGTCAAAATTTACAATTAACAACTGATTGAAATACATCGAATTGTGCTGGATAAATCTTACTGGAAAAAATTTACCCAGTAACATTTAGTAAGTTCTCAGCGTATAACTGTCAAACTAGCTCTCTCTTTTCGCTCTCTTTTGCTGGACTTTTGTCCTTTCTGGCAAAAGCTACCATATCTTGTATAATTGCTCCATGCTTGAAATGATCTTTTTAGACGTATTAAGGAATACATTTTTTAAAATAAAAAATATTTCTTGACTTTTGTCAAAATTTACAATTAACAACTGATTGAAATACATCGAATTGTGCTGGATAAATCTTACTGGAAAAAATTTACCCAGTAACATTTAGTAAGTTCTCAGCGTATAACTGTCAAACTAGCTCTCTCTTTTCGCTCTCTTTTGCTGGACTTTTGAGTAAACAGACAACATCCAGTAACATTTCGTAAGTCTGCTTTTCCACAGGCAGATTTTTATTTGGCAAATTTTTTGTTTTCTCTTTTGAAATTTTCGCTTGCTTTTCCATTACCAAATTTTTCTTTGTCAAATTTGCGAATCAAATTAAAAATAAAGAAAAAAAAGAACGTCAAAAGTGTTTGCATTTTAAAGATTTTTTTAATATTTTATTTATTTTTTATATATTTTATTATATAAATTGCAAATATAAAAAATTAAATTTCACTTGCACAAATTAAAACAACAGGTTTGTAAACAAAAGCCGGCTGTGAGTCAGTAAAGCGAATAGGTTCAAAAGGAAATGTCAACAAAATTGTTTTCAACGAACAGAGCAAAGCAGAATTTGCGTGTACGGCAAATTCTGAACAGGCAAATTTTTGTTTTTCTTCCTCGCACCCCTCTCGCCTACAAACTCAGTATTTGCCAAATAAAAATCTGCCTGTGGAAAAGCAGACTTACAACTGTTAGTCTGCTTTTCCACAGGCAGATTTTAATTTGGCAAATTTTTTGTTTTCTCTTTTGAAATTTTCGCTTGCTTTTCCATTAGCAAATTTTTCTTTGCCAAATTTGCGAATCAAAATACAAAAGAAAGAAAAAAAAACGTCAAAAGTGTTTGCATTTTTAAGATTTTTTAATAGTTTATTTATTTTTTATATATTTTATTAAATAAATTGCAAAAATTAAATTTCACTTGCACAAATTAAAGCAGTAAAGCGAATAGGTTCAAAAGGAAATGTCAACAAAATTGTTTCCAACGAACAGAGCGAAGCAGAATTTGCGTGTACGGCAAATTCTGAACAGGCAAATTATTGTTTTTCTTCCTCGCACCCCTCTCGCCTACAAACTCAGTATTTGCCAAATAAAAATCTGCCTGTGGAAAAGCAGACTTACCAAATATCGAGTAAACAGACAGAACTATTGATAGATGAGTTACAAATTAAAAAGAGTTGCCATTATCAATTTCTGGCTTTGACAGTATTCAGCTTTCAAAGTTTAAATGAAAATATCTTCCTTCGAAATGTACGCATATCATGTGTTCAGTGGCAAAAATTGCTAAATAATTAATATTTATAAATTTTTTCCCTGTCTCTAAAACTTATAAATATAAGATGGTTGTTACCCATGGTTAAATCCATGGTAGTCTCATACGGGTGTATAATTCCAATTTTTTCATAATTTTACTTTTGACAAATTCAGCTTTCAAAATTTAAATGAAAATATCTTCCTTCGAAAAGTACACATAACACCCGTTCAGTGACAATGATTACAAAATGTTGAAGTTTGCAGCCTCTATAATTTAAAAACTTAATTTCTAACATCTATAGTTATATCTAAAGAATAATATCAATAAAAAAGTAGATGTCTATTTACAGAATGTATACATTTTCAATTTTTTAACAAATATGCCATTCAGCATGCATACAATTTTATGGAATTTATTTATCAATTTGAAATTGATAGCTGAGTTCCAAATTAAAAAGGGTTGCCATTATTAATTTCTCAAATGAGACTACGTTTGTAATTAAGGCGTGCCCTACATCCACAAATCATAAATTTCTTCTTAACAATTGCAACGTATTTTGTAGCGTAGTTTTAGGAGAAGTCATTATTTTATAGAGTTATAGAATAGGATTTCGAGCAAATCGAGATATTGAGTGCATTTAAATGTGTATCATAAATCGAAGTAAATGGAGATCGATTTAGTTGGTGTCATTGTTAATGGTTCTCGTAATATTACCTTGGATATTCCGTTTGTCCTTTTCCAGAAACTGCAAAATATTTAAATTAATCGAAATCTTTTTCAAAATTTCTTTCTCAGTTTTGATCTGTCCCCGCATTGCAATAATCTACTACTTAAACGGCATTTACATTAGAACTTTTTACCGGGTTAACCTATTCTATGAGGATTTAATTGGCATGTATACAATGGAATTGACAATTGAAACCCACTGGGTTAACGAAATCCGGTTAAATGTAAACGTACTATTACTACGATATTCTTATTTTCCTTTATGCTATCGGCAAAACATCCGTAACAGACCAGTTGTAAATAAAAAAAAAATTGCAACAATTCAACGCCTAAACGTTATATTACTCAAGCTTTGTAGCGGCAATTAACCGCCACCTTTTTTAAAGCAGCGTTGTATTTTCGCACTCAATGAAAGTTCCAAGTATTCAGTACTTGGTAACCATTTCATATTGTGTCAGAATAAAACTTTCGCGTGTTGCTGCTGTTCTTGTGTCGCAGCTCAGAGTAAATTTTTGTTAAAAATATAACTATTGTGTAAATAAATCCGTAAATAGGTAATGTAATTGTCAATGTGCCAATAATACAGCTACTTGTGTATTCAATGAGCGTATAAAATACAGTTTATTTTCGTCCACTACCATTTAGATTTAGATAGCACGCCACAAACACACTGGAAAAAATAAAAACAATGGGGCGCAAACAGGGATGCGTCATTAAAAACTCTGCAGCAGCGACCACAAAGCCAAAAACCACTACAAAAAAGGTATGTGTGTGACACTAATTAATAATTTCCTTATTATTATAACTTTTTATAGTTATAATACCATATACTGTGTGATAATATGCCATAATATTTGTTTTGCCTTTCTATCCTTAGGTTATGCCACACGATGAATTTATGCAACGTATACGCAAATCCTTATATTTTGGCCAAGATTTCACTGAATGTGAAACTATGAGTGTTTCCAAACCATTGGCTGAACTAACGTCCGAATTATTTTCGGATACTCATCGTGGTCATACATTGAATCGTTTGTCCTGTGTTGAGGCGTCCAGTGTTATACCAGCCACACCGGCTGCTTTAATTATGGCTCTTATCTATTTGGATCGTTTGAATGCCACAGACCCTGCTTATGTCCGACGCATAACACCGCAAGAATTGTTTATTGTTTCGATGGTAAGTGTGATGGTTGGCAATCACAACCGCCTAACCACCCAACAGGTCATATGTGAGATAAGACCCTCACTATCTCGGTATGCATGTACTTTATATGTATGCTCTTATCACCTGTTGCTATGTCTATTTGCCTTGCATTGATTTCTAATGACACAATTTTGTTTTCAT